TGTGTTTTATTTGATCACGGTACTGACCGCCTGCCAGCTGTCAGCTACCACTCTACGCGTTCTCAGCCGAGTCTCGTCCAGATTGTATGCAGTTTTGGTTCCTCGCATATACCGTACCATTTCATTCTGTGCAGCAAGTGAATGGGCGCTGAATGTGTTGAATGTCGACCCTTTCTTTCTCCGTTTCGGTCCTTCACGGGCCGCGGACTATCTCCAGCACGTGCGGCACCTACAGATCAAAGCTCCATTCCACCTTGTTCGGTTTAACCGATGTGCATACTACAACATATTTCGTGCAGCGGGGCTGCCGGAGTCTCCGGCTACACTGGGAGCCTCGGACGAGGCGACGGCACATCAGCAATTCCTAGACGACGTGAAGGATCAATTGCAGCTGATATTCACCCACCTGAAGCCGAATAGACTGAGCACGTTTGAGTTCGTATAAGCCGGTATCTGTCTATCGAGACCTGTGATTGACTAGCAATAGATGGCGCCTAGGGACATGTGTTCCGGTGGGAGTTCTCGACAAGGAAGGCTATCTCAGTCGGTACCAACAGCGCCTCACTCGTCTCTCACTCGTCACTGACGGTACCTGCCCTGAAACATTGCACCGCTTGGAAGGAGTGTCTAGACTATCCTGCCTGACGGCGTTTGAGTGGGAAGGACTCCAACATCCGTCCGAGGTTGATTTGTTACGACAGTGCATCCGTCGGAACTGGCGCCGCCTGGATCATCTGTCCATCGGCTTCGTTCCATCAGCTTTTGCCCGTGCTCTGTGCTGGGAGAGCCTTGGGCTTCAGCAATCGGAGCTCGGGGTCGGGAATATAGGTACCGGTGAGACAAGGAACGGGGATACAGGGATCGGGAATCTGACAGCTCTTCCCGCTCTGTCCACATTATCACTTTCAAAGGTGACCCTGCCTCCAGATATCTCATCAGAGCGCGATGCGATATTCTATTCCCTGCGAGCGCTCACGCTGCGCGACTGCCCGAATCAGCTGCGTCTCGTGCAATTACTGTCGCGGTCACAAAAGCCGCTCCGACTAACGCATTTTGAATTTTCTTTCGATTACCTGCTGCACGAACCGGGTGAAGGACGTAGCCTATCTGCTGTTGTGCGGTTCTTATGTTCGTTTCGTGGGCTACAGCATCTATACCTGAGGTTGTCCAACTTCCCGGCGTCAAAATCTCACATCCAGGATGCCATCCGACATCACCAGTCTACGTTGAAAAGCCTCGTCTACCATGAGCGCCAACTCGCTCCCATCGATGCCGATGGCTTATTTGAGGATGATCGTGATGTGTCACCCGCGTGGGTAACAAACTTGTCTGCCATTGTAGACCTGGGCCAGGTGTCTGCTCTGGGTCTGTGTGCTAGTCCATCTGCAGCTGTAAGTTTTCCTCCGTCCAGTAAACGTGTGCCCGCTAATGAGAACAGCGTCTGTGCCTTCGACCCACGGCCAAGCATTCCCAGCTTCAGATTCTACATCTGCGGTTCAGCGGCCTCGATCGAATCCACCGAGACATCCCACGAGAGATTACCACCTTTCTACATGAGACGCGCAAAGGGTACTCACGGCATCCTCGTTCGTGCTGGGGTTCTGTGAACCGGAATGCCTCCAATGATAACTACAACTACGGTCCTATTTTCGATGAGTACTTTGACAGGTCACAATTCGAGTATATGGACCCGCAGCAGGCAGTCCTTGCGTCTTCCGCAGCGATTGCAGAGGCCGAGGATCTCGTGTCGTTTGCTGAATGGGCATTCGGCCCCCACGGACTGCCGGCTCTGCAGGTCCTCGCGTTTGGGGACTTCTCCCACGGTGACCGATACCGGAGTCAGCAGTTTCTAATGCGTCGTGTCTATCCCTCATGGGAGGACGGTGACAAGGAACTTGCCGGCCTTGCATGCGATGATACGACGCGGCTGCCCTTTCGTTCGGCAGATATGAGTGACCCTTCGCTTTGGGATGGTGCTATGGTGGACGGGGCTCGTTTTCTGTCCGCATGCCCAGGAGGCGGGTTGATGGAGTCACCGTACGAGTTATAGGCCTGCATTGTGTCTTTCTGGATTCTTCCTTGTGGTTCGCGGCGGACTGCTACGCGACGCAACGCATCGCGTCCCATGATGGATTTTGTCAAAAAAAGCAGTGGCATATGGTCGTGATCTGCCTTGCTCTTATTCATACTTAGTGAATGAATCTTTTGCGGCCTTCAATTTCAGTCTACAGTAGTTCACTGTAAGCGTACAATAATGTATGAACTCGTCAGGCCTGTCTTAGCATTATCCAAGCAAGTCCAACAGATACAGAACTCGTAATTCATCAATTTAGCTATCCGCAAACTGACGCTTCTCCACCATTCTAATCTAATAAATTTATTTGTAACTTTGTCTCTCCCGTAGAATTGAGCGGGTTCGGCGAAATGTTAACCGGTTTCTGCGCACACCCGCGGTTCCTTGCCGGCTCCCATTATATTTGCATGACTGGGCGTAATCGACCGACAGTACAAGGATATTCACCCATAGCAAGGCATCCTCTTATTGAGTCTGGCGGTGAATGAGGACGGTTCAATGCGGGCGTGTTTGTCGTGATGATTAGCCGTGTGGTGAGAACCTTTTCTGTGACCACCATGGAATCTCCCTAGAAGCTTGTCTATTGTACCGTGCTCTTTTGGCTTTTGATATAAAAGATACTCTGTGCCCGATCCAGACTTACTCTTCGCTTTCAGGTTCTCTACTATCTGAATAAAAACGAGCTTTCGATTCCCCACACCTCAATGGAACAGGTTCCTCCTGTCTCTCCCTCCCAGTCGGGACGAGCCAATAAAAGAAAGCGCGAATGTCCAGATCAGTTCAATAGCCCAACCGGCGTCCCAGGAAGCCCCGAAGAGGTGATAGATTTCACTTTGACCTTTTATGGCTGGCTCTAACCAACTGTTGACATAGACAATTCCGACCGGCGCAGCCTGCTCCCTAACTAGCGATATGGCACGGATCCTTCAAAACCCTCATTCCTCGTCCTCTGCCGTTGACCTCCTGGACCTGTATCTGTGTCTGTGGGAGTGCTACACGATCAAGTCGGCCGGCAAAATACGCTTGGAAGAGGAACGTCGCTACCTGCAAAACTCACAAAAATGGCTGGCGGAGGAGAACAAAAAGCTTCAGCAATGCTGCAATCATCAAGAACTGCTGCTGTGGGATCGTCGTCAGGCCTTTCTCTCTGTACACCAGGGCGTTCTCGGAACATTGCAGAATAGTGACAGACACTCGTGTCAGATAAGTGAGCTACAATGAGTTCATGCAGGGGCAAATTGAAACACGCTAGCTTCAGTTGACCAAGGCTTGGGGTGTAATAGCAAATAGCACAGTGTGACCGGTCTTGTGGTTCTTGCGTGGAACCACGCCGGCAGGAACGACCGGTGGAAAAGTTCAACGGAGTATGAGTGGGGCGGGCATTCCTGACACCTCACCACCAATGTACACTTTCAACGGAAATTGGATCATTCACCGTTTGCTTCTACGTAAACCAGGAGAACCCATCACTTGGTAACATAGCCTTCTCTTGAACATGGTCAAGCCTCTCGGACCTAGTTCTTTTTCTTTCTTCTTCTTTTCAATGGGCTTTCTCTAACCTAGAAGCTAGCCACCCTGGCCTCTACATATAGACCCAATAAAACCCCATCATATCCTACCTCCATAAACTGTCTTTCATCGCGAACGTGGCACTTGCTGCATGAGGATAATGGGACAACTTGATCAAATTGGTTAGTTGGATGATCTTCGATACTTAATGTCGGCGCTGATGGTCCCTTCAGACTATGATTTGGATCTAGATCTTGAGTCCATTTGGCGAGAATTTCCCAATATGCCGACACTGCCACCTTGCCCCGCAGAAAATGGTAGCTCTCTGTGCTCAAACCAACCAATCGGCGGATGCTTAGAGTATACTCAGCATGGGGATAAGAGGGTTCCTGCCATCGAATATGTCTTCTACCCCAGCTATGAGAATTTCTGCGCCTTCAGCTGGACAGGGCCGGATCCGTTATCCCACGACACGTGCGCCGATGATATTTTCCTTTATGTATCCGCGTTTCTGCTTTTTGAGCGGGTGAACTGGATAGAACTCCGACTCAATAAGTTCAGTACGGAGACTGAAGAGGCTGTCGAAGAGTATCCGTTCTTCCTTCCGCGGGTTGAGTCAATGCTGGGCAACTTACGAAGGATACGTGGTCAAATAAGTGACATTCTCTCGCAGCATTCTACTATGGAAAACATATCAAGCGCTGGACAAGCACGGTTTCAGTTAGCTATATGGCCGCGGGTAGAGGTCACAGACAGTTCCACGATGTGGGATTCGGTTCCATTATCTGGCATTCACCCTTCTACGTCCATGCCATTTCTTGATCCACAAGACTTTGTGCAGAATATAGTGGGAAACTGGGAAATCTGAGCATCCTAATTTCGTGGGTCGCCAGTTCTCAGCGTGACGGTTGGGCGTGGTGCTTGAAGGCTTGCCTCAGGATTCTTCGCCTTTGACCCAAGCTTTGCTTGTCAGCGATCCTATAGGGCTTTCCAACACGGTTTCTTTGCCTTTTTTCGTTTGCCTCTAAATGAAACTCGTCACGTCACCGCTGGTGTTCTATCTCGCCGTGAAGGGCGTAGTTTCACCTTTTTGTTCTCCGGGTGTCTGCTTCTGTGGCAATAGTTTATTCGCCTTTGCCAATTCGGATCCAATCAATATAGTGGCTTTCTGTTTCCAGTATTCGCCTCTCGTGTATTTTCGGTCGTCTTAATCTTTGATCCAACCTAAGCAAGGGTTGACTCATCCGTGAACGGAAAATGCCTTTTATTAATGACTTCATCCTCCATATGCCAGCTCTCAACTAGATACCTCGTAATGTGGCTTTTGTCACACTGAGATACATAAGATCTATGGTCTGTGGGATTTCTGAGTCAAATTTCAGACCGTTCATTCAATGAATATTTGACAACAGGTTCAACGGAAATGGAGGAGCTCCAAGACCGACTTGGCTACCACTTCAACTCCACTCCATTGTTAGAAGAGGCTTTGCATCCAGCTGGAACTCGTCCGCTGCAAGGCAACAAGCGTCTGGCACTCGTTGGAGACTCCGTTCTGTCCACTTCACTTCTGGACGAATGGTACGGTAGTGAAAATACCATCGGCACGTTGAACTGTGAAATCGCTAATTTATGATGAGTTCTGACTAGACACAGAAGATGGGGATCACATACTGCGAAAGAATGCTTGCAACAAACATTTGAGCTGCAAAGGTGAGGCGTGTGAGCTGGACGACTTTATAACCGGCCAACCGGCACAAAAGGGTGAGATCACTAATGGCACTCGTGCGACGACGGTGGAAGCCATTCTTGGCGCTGTTTGGATTGATTCAGGAAAGAACATTCATGCTGTCGATCGTGTAAAAGCCAACTTGGGTATCGGTGTGTAATACTGGCTAGTGCGGAAACCTACTGTGATGTTCGATGTCCCTATAATTTTGTGATTTCGTTTAATTCGGAGGCTACTCAGATCGGTAGGCAATGACTTAAAGAAATGCAATGATGGTGTTGTTTTTCCTTCCTATCTCTTCTTTCATTTACTAAGTATCATGGGCAATCCTGGGTTGTTCCACAACCGGTGACAGGTAAATGGGGGCGTGTTATAACATGCGGTGGTTCCATTCACGGCGTAATAGGTCTGCCAAAAGTTGCTACAGGATGCACTGTTGTAGTACAGCTGGTCTTTGTTGGAGTACCAGGAATTGAAGTTACTCGTGACGGATATATCCAATTGCTCCTGCTGTGTCAATGAGCGATTAAGTTGTAGACTGCGAGAAATGTAGGCGTTGGAGATATTTCGTGCCAGAACCGAGTCAGTGAATTGGGTGACACCGAAATCTCCGGTGCAGTTAAGCTGTGTCCAGGCAATGAGTTGAAGTGGAGCAAAAAGCGTCTAAAGCTAGTCAGCGAAGCCGCGAGACGGAATGTTCAATTAACTACGTTGATGGCAGGCTGAACATCAAGTTCAGGTCTTGGCGCAGCCGCTACAGCGGTAGCTATAGCTAGAGTGATCATTGCTGCCAGTATCTTGGATTGCATGATTTACAAACGAGGACATTGTGAAGGCTGGGTTAGGGAACTGACCGCTTTTATTTTGGGAACAGTAATGACGTCAGTGAGGACAATGACCGGTCGGATTGAACAGGGGACCTCAAGTCCCTCAAATAATTGTACCAACCATTTTCCATTGGGCAAAGAAGCTGAGGACCGATAGTGCAGTGGTTCAGTTGATGGAAGATTATATTCAGTTATCCTACATGTTTGGGCGCGTTTGTGGGCCTTAAAAGTTGCGGATTCAACCGGGTTCCCAACCGGCAGTTAAGAAGCAAACCGTTAAGAAGCAAACCGTTATGAAGCAAACCGTTAAGAAGCAAACCATAGTTGAACCGTGTCGTTTGCATACAGTACAGCAATGCGGAAAGACAATTTTCCCTGTTCAATTCCTGGTCAAGATATGCCTTCGCGCCTAACTACCTATGCGTGTGTCCTTCTGGATCCCAAGGACCTAATATGGTTTGGGTTGCGATCAACGATATACCTTGACTTAGGGTGGAAACGCTTCCATGAACTAATGCCAAAGCTCTATATTCTCCCGTATACTTTATAATCAGCGCCACTTAGGGCTCACTTCTTTAAAGCCTTCAGCTAATCTCTCGGCCCAAATAATTATGAATTGGTTTATTGGCACTAAATTGTGGATGGATGCAAGGTATGAGGAGCTCATGATTTACGTGCTTCAAATACTAATAAAATGCTAAGCAATAGAACCAAGAGATCTTTTCGCCCCTCGAAATCTTCTCGAAAAGAAGGCGGTTCAGTGCCTCCTGTGGAGTGTGCTGAATCTACGAGACGAAATGCACACACCAGCCTACCCGAGATCGGCACGCTTCGCTGCCAGCTTTGCCATGGCCGGCGATCGTCTTTCTATCATACCAATCACCTAGAAGATTCATTAATATTCCCTCGAGAAGGAATCTGCTCGCGAAGGCGGACCGGCTGTGCGGCGAACAAGGCCAGGCTCCAAGCTTTCCATGGTGCCCTCCCTGTGATACATGAACTGCCGGCGGAAGATACGATTGCCAATGAGCTGAAAACTCAACCATTGTGTTGAGACCGCCTCAATCGAAGAGGCCTCCACTAGAGGCAGGCGCAGCGAATCCGACACGCGGTGCGCGTAGGCGAATTTGAGTGAAGTGTTGAAACCAACTAGGCTATTAAGGTGCAGAATGACGCTGGTAGGGATTCATGGTTCGGTAACTGTGATAGTAGACTTTCAGTGCCCTTGTGCCAATCTATTTTCTACCCACTTCGAGTGGTTGCTCATCTCGACTTTTCCGGTTTCCGTATCAATTTTTGTGGGCGATGAATACTGTAGCTTACGGTTGTCCACTGGAATTCGTCGTTCTTGGTGAATACGCTTGCCCTCTCCCGCTCCCGAGGCTGTGTGTGTTGGATCCTGGCGGTCAACTGCAGACTCGACGCTGCCGGGCAAATCGTCATTCCCATCCGGTGCAGGGCTCATATCGGGGTCGAGAACGATCAGCTGGAGATTTCTTCCTGCGTGTGGCTGTACAGTCTTCGTCACGGCCTCACTTATTGACGGACCTGCACATACTGCGTAGATTGTTAGCACCGTAACCGTAATATTGCGCTCTTCAGCGCACTGAAGTGGATGGAGGTTGGACTTGGGAAACTCACCCGCTACGGCCATGGCTCCGCGTTGATTGTTGAGATACCGCGCAACTTCCTCCTCGATCTTGATCGAGCCATAAAAGTAGCAAAGCATTGCGTTGTGCTCGTAGGAAAGGTTTTCCTGGGGACTTGATTGAGTACGCGGGCAGTAGATGCTGAACCGCAAAATCTGAAGCACGGTCAGGTCGCAGCGCACAGAATGAGCTGCAGTAGCAGAAAACTCACCTTGAACGATCTCCAGTCGCGATTGAAAAGGTCTTGCATCCATTCATTTACCCATTGTGGATTTTCTGCCAGAACTTCAGCCACCTTTCAGACTCTAAAAAAGTACTAGTCCAAGATAGAAACATACCATCTTTGCCAACTTGTCGCTTCCAGAGAACCTCTAGCTTTCGCACCATTACTTCTCGCTTGCGGCTGGCCTCCACCAACATTTCAATGTATGAAAGCGCTCGGAAAAACCCGATGTCCTCTACCACGAAGAGGATTGTACCGAACCGATAGAAATCGAGAGGGTGTCCGTA